CAGGATTAAAAACTTGGACTCGTAAAAAGCATTGTGTTAGGGGAAAAAGTATATTTGTAAAAATGAACACATTTTTAAGTATTTCAAAGTCCTTGCAGGAAATCACTGCTATGCTGTAGAATAATAGTGTTTATGACTCCTTTTGGAAAAGTAATTGCCAAATTAGCATTCAAACAGTGGAAAACTGAATTTTGTAAGGTATTGGACCTAATGATGGTAATGTTTGAAATATCACTTGTTAACAGTAAGAGTCACTGGTAACAGAATAGTCCCGGGTGTCAGTTTGTAATTGTCTATACTTTATACCTACTTTTAAATTTTGTTTTGATATAATAATTTATGTAAACATCATGTTTGAAGGGGAAATTATGGTTTGCAAGGAAAAAATAGTAGAATGAAGATATTTCTCATTGGCTGAATCATATTTAGACAAAAAAAATGAGTTATGCATTTTAGTAATTGACCATTCTTAGTGTGTGTGTGTGTGTGTGTGTGTTGCTGGGGATTGAACCCAGGGCCTTCAAGACGAGCTTGGAAAACTTTATCTGTCTCAAAATAAAAATGCAAGGCAAGCACTCTATCAATTGAGCTATATCCCCAGCTCGCTCTTAGCTTATAGTGAGGTTTCAGCAAACTATGTTGTTATTTCGTCATCTTTTTCACAGTTTGATCCAAAGCTAGGATGAAATTTACTTTTTCAATGCCAGTGAAGTAAATTACTAAACAAATTGACCCTTTCTTATGAAACTAAGAAAGTTTTATCTATATAACAGTTTATCTATATATTTATTTTTGTTACCACTGCTTGTAGACTCTGTGACATCTTCCTTTCCTGTCTCATTAGGCAGATCCTACCACCCTTTTCACTTCTTGTTACCAAGAAATAATGTATCACTTTCAGGGCATAAAAAGTTCAGGCTGCTGAAAGATAAAGAGCCCCATTTATGTCTTATATCCTCCTGGGGCTTGTGACTTACTGAGAAAGACAGTAAGAAATATAGAAATATGTTAGAGAATGATAAATGCTTCTGGGGGAAAGGGGGACAAGTGTGTGTAAAGGTATGTGTGACATTTTGGACAGAATGACCAGGCAAGGACTGCTGAAACTGTGACTTTTGAGTTGAAACCTGAAGATGATGAGGGATTAAACCATGTGGGTACCTTGGGGAAGAGCCTTCCAGGCAGGGAGACACTGGTGATATGGCGGTCATGAGGTGGAAGTGTGTATTGTGTATTGGAGAAAGCAGCATTGCTTCACCCAGTTGAACAAGGAAGAGATGAAAAAGATGGTGGCTGCAATGGTAAATTATAACTAGCTGAAGCAGTGTTTCCTTTGTTTTACAAGTGAACATGCCATTAGATGAAATAGGAAAGATTATAGTTGGAATGTTAGGAATTTCATTTGAGATGTGGTAAGTGTGAGGTACTTTTAAAAATTACTAGATTTAAATATTCAATTTCAAAATAGAGACTTAGTATTTAGATGCATAATTGGAGATTCAGAATAAAAATCTAGTTGGTACATACAGATTTGGGAGTTAAGAGGATACTAGCATGTTTAAAGGAAATAAAATTATGTGGGATTACCAAAAGAGTACATGTAGATAGAAAATAGAAGGGTCTAAGGATTGAGCCTTGAAGAACTAGCAATATCTAGACGTTGGGGAAATAATGAATGGCAGTACAGAATGAGAGGAGTCCAGGAAGTTTAGGTAGAAAACTAATTTATGTTATTCTAACAACAAAACAGAAATTTTCAAGCAAGAAATGATTGATTTTATCAAATGTTGCTGGACCAAGTAAGATGCGGATTCAGAAATAATCTTTGGAGTGATGAGATTAATGACCTTGGATTAGAGCTCTTTTGTGATGGAGGAACAGGGAGGGAAAGCCTGTTTGGATTGGTTTCAAGTAAAAACAGGAAGAAAGAAGTTGGAGACAGCAAGTAGATAATACTTGCAGGGAGTTTTGCTATAAAGGACAATAATTGAGATTGAAGCTGGAAGGGGTAGTGAAATAGAGGGGCTTTTTTGAATAGTTATTAAATGTTAGAGAAAGGCATTGTTGGACTCTTGTGGACATTTATTCCATAGAGAGGGAAAAGTGGTTGGTCAGAGACAAAAGGAATGCTGCTCTTGTGGAAGAGAGAGACTTGGGAAGAGAGAGAGATGGGAAGTAGTAAAAAGGTATGAATAGTGCTTGTCTTGAAACTGTTCAGCATTTTTATCACTCATTTTCTACTTCTCTTGAGATCTCAGTAGCAATTCAGCTGTTAGCCTATAAAATGCTTTGTTTGGATTAGAATGAAGTCAGACCTGCAGCTGCTCTTATCCCATATTGCTTCCTACTCATCTCCACCCTCCCCAGGCCTTGAGTAGCAGATAGTACCTTACTATGAACAGGCCCCTTACTCCAGACAAGGTAGCCAACACAAGGCTCATTCCCCTTAGGCTAGGCATCTTTGGATACTACTTTGTAGTAGCATAGCTATATCCTACTCATTTTACTCCAGAACAACAGGAAAAGTCACATTGAATATCTTGCTGTAATTTTAATGTACCTCTTGTCCTGTGGCGTATAACTTAAGTGGGAAGAAAACAAGTTGAAGAACTGAGTTTGGTGTGAGGATCCCAGCTCTTCCACCAGCTAGCAGAGGGGATTTAACATGGATCCTATACTCTCTGTGTTAGATTCTTCAAGTCTAAAGAGAGGATTTTGTCCTCAACTGCATGCTTTTCAGTCAAGTCCAGCCATCTGAAGGATAATACAGAAAAATTTCTCTGAGACAGTCTGTTTTTTTTTTTTTTTGAGAACAGCTCCCTTTGGGTAGGTACTTCTGGGAAATATATTAAAACCTTAGAGGAAAATATAGACTAGTCCATATAGTTTGTTTAAATTCTGTGTCATTTTATAACTCTGAGCTATATGGAAAGTTATTTAACTCTATGCCTTGTTTCCCATTTCAAAGGTTGGTAAAAGAATTAAATAAATTATGTGCTATGGTGCTTTTAAACAATACCTGACTTATAGTAAAGATGGGGTAAACTGTTGCTGACATTGTTAATACTATTCCTAGTATGTAAAAGGTGTCATTTAGAAACATTTTACTAGAGCAGCTGGTACAAGCTCTGATGCTATAATTTAATTTTATTATGATTACCTTGAATCACCAAGTGGAAAGTTAATATGGAAAAGACATGCTATTGATGAAGTTAAACTTCTTTCTTTCATAAAATTGGTTCTCAGTTTTATGTTTTTTGTTATAGTGAATATTAACTTGTAGGAAGTATACATGATTCTCAAACGACAGAATAGTGAGCCATTATTATGGTTAGTTGTAGTTGCTGTTTATATTTAAAACATATAAAAATGTTATTTTCAAATAAATATTTAGGCCACAATAGTCAGGTTTTATTGTTCATATATATCTGCCTTAAATATAGATTATTGAAACAACCTGTAACTTTTATTATAGTGTCAAGCTTAGTGTATTTTTTGGTATGAATCATTTCTCAGAGCATACATTCGATAATTGATGATATGGCTTACCTGAAGTTTCACAATTTATAAAAGTATGTTTTACAGAATTAACATGTAATTCAATCATTTTAACTAATGTTCTGTTGTTAATTAATATGGTTGATTTATCAATGTAGTTTGTGCTTGTTTTATGTAGAACTTGGATTTCTAAAATGATAAGTACTTCAAAATAAGAAAAGCTTTATATATACATATGTTCAGGAAGCCAAGATAATTTGTTATGTAATGATTAGAGAAAAACAGAGGTCTATAAGACTTGAAGAGAATTTAAGGAGTACTAGAGCTGCCTTTCCACAAGTAATTCTGAGTTTAGATTTTGTTTGAACTCTCTTTGTATTTTCTAAATGAAATTACAGTGGTGAGCACATTGTATCAAAATATAACTATGACTTAGTAGCACCTAGAACTTTCCTAACAACTTTCACCTAAAAAGAACCAGGTCTTCCTGAAAAAATAGCTGATTCTAGTGCTGGGAGCCCGGAATGTTTTATTGAGCCAGAAAGGAGAAAAGTGTTTTAAAAACTAATGGTGGCATGTTAGATGGAGTCAGTGAAGGGTTCCCACTGGCCAAATATGAGCATAAAAAAAATAAATAAATAAATAAAAAGCAGTAGTGAATAATAATAAAACATTGGAAGAAAATAGAAATCCATGAGTCCACACCAGTAATGCATCATTAAGTGTGGAGAAAGTACTAAAATTGAAAAATCATGATTGTGCCACCATTTTAGTAAAGTTCAAAGAGTCCACAAGTGGGTGTGAATCATAGGGAAGAAATTTTGATAAGGGGCAGGATATTTGCATGATCTTCAACTATCTGACCAAAGATTACTTACTGGTTGTCGGGTAAAGTAGTCAATTAAATAGTAGGTAAATTGGACAGCACCTTGTCTTCATGATGAAACATTACCCATGAGGAACAGGTGGATATCATGTACCTCTGGATGTGATACACCGAGAAGGACACAACACTTTTGTGTTGCTCTGACCAGGAAAACATTACTTGAATCTAATCATGAAGAAATACCAGACAAGCTCAAAGTGATGAGTTTTGTTTGTTTTTATAAGAATATGTTCTGCAAAAAAATGTTAATTACAAAAATGAAAGGCCAAGAGAACCCATGTTAGAGGAGACTGAAGACAGGATATAATTGGCACCAAGACTGTTTTTTGTGTCTGGAGGGGAAAAAAAAAGATTTTAAAGGATTATTGAGATAGTTGACAACTTCATAATGCAAATTGTAGATTAAAGTATTGTGTTGAGGTTTGTAGGAGAGTGTTTTTAGAAAATGAACACTGAAGATTTATATGAAAAGGGCTATTTTGAAATAGCTTAGAAACAAATGATATCCCTCATTTTTCTCGATTGCTAATTTAACTTAAACTTTATTGGTTTTAAGGTGTTAATATGCATTGTTTACAGATGAACATATTGCTAAATTTTAATTTCTTTTATGTAGTGCTGGGCCTAAAGGAGATAACATTTATGAGTGGAGATCAACCATACTTGGTCCACCAGGTTCTGTATATGAAGGTGGTGTGTTTTTTCTGGATATCACATTTTCATCAGATTATCCATTTAAGCCACCAAAGGTAAGAACCTAGAAATACATTCTTTAATATTTATCTTTCTCCAAAACTGGTTATCATAGAATTCAAATGCATATTAATATAATAATTTTATTATTTAGGAATTGATATGGAAACTCACAGAACCAAGGATTTTTAAACTCAAAGTAATTGACTTCTTTCACAAGTAACTTCTTATTCAACAGAGGATTTGTTAATTATAAATAAAGCTATACCTTTTTTCAGTTGGTTATGCAGTTTTATTAATACTAATAGAACTATACCTTGTACAAAAATAAAAGTGATAAATTTTAAATTTATGATATGAGCAAGAAAAAATAACATATGACCCTTCCTTAAGAAAGTGTTAGGATAAAGTGGGGCAGCGACACATTACTGTAATCACAGTGTAGCAGAAGTCTTGAGGCAGGAGGATCCCAAGTTTTAGGCCATCTGGGCAGCTTAGCAAGTCCTTGTCTCAAAATAAAATAAAAAGAGGTGGGAATGTAGCTCAGTGGTACAGCATCCCTGGGTTTAATTCCCAGGATTGTAGAAAAAAAAGAAAAGAAGCCTGTTTGACAGTTTCCAGAAGTAATGATTTAATAATGTGAATTTTGTCTATATAGGTAAGCAAAAACTAGAAAGCCTAACAAAGGAAAGGAAAACTAATAATATATATTTTTTAATTTTTATTGTTGGTTGTTCAAAACATTACATAGTTCTTGACATATCATATTTCACACTTTGATTCAAGTGGGTTATGAACTCCCATTTTTACCCTGTATACAGATTGCAGAATCACATCGGTTACACATCCACTAATTTACATATTGCCATACTAGTGTCTGTTGTATTCTAAGGAAAAAAAAAAACAAAAACAAGGGGGAGAAATGAATTACAGTAGATGGGGTAGAGAGAGAAGATGGGAGGGGAGGGGGGAGAGTAGAGGATAGGAAAGGCAGCAGAATACTAATAATATTTAATAAACTCATTTTGGGCCCTCTGTGGGTATGACTGGTAATGGAATTTGAACTTATCTGGCAGGATAAGTTCCTCCTTTTTGTTGGCTATTAGTTAATTTCAAATATAAATTGGATGAATAACAAAGAAGGACTGGGTTCTAACCTGGTAATGACTGTCAGTTATTTCGCAAAGCTTAAGACATATAACAGTTACTTGAATGGGTTCTTCCTGATTGCTCATTTAGAATGATCAAGCCAAAGGATAAAAATCACCAGAATTAAACCTGAACATAATTTTGCCCTTGTTACAGAGATGTCCAACATGCCAGGAGAAAGTTATCAAGTCTGTGATGAAATGTTTTTCTTTTCAACATAATTCCTTATGTTTCCTATACTCTTTGTCATTTATATAGTGAATTAATACTTCTGTGTGTGAAAATGTTTGTTTAAAATAAGCATTATTTTACAATGTAATAATAGTTCCACCTAGTGGTGTTTACCCCAAATTGCAGATACTAAGGCCCTTTAACTCCCAGTTAAGACTGTGTTTTGAGTGCTGTACTGTGTGATCCTATCAGAATCTACCAATATTGAAAGTGTTGTCTTTTTTAATGCACCCAAGTCTGTAGAGTCCATCTTGCTGAATCAGTCAAATAAAAAGTGAAAACCCTCATGTTGATAATACCACAAACTATACAAATTAGTTGACCTATTTAATATCAGTATATCTACTAGATGCTCAATTTGCATTCAGTGATTCAACTTGGCAAACCTCATGACTGTATTTATAAATAGTTGATACTTCCACATGTCTAATTTTTCATATTGGAAATTGGTTTAAAACGTTAGCAAAATTAGTGGGGAAAGTTATTAGCAAGGTGTGTTTTATACAACTTTTATTATGTAGACAAAATTAACTGAATTAAAATAATGTTTACATTTTTTAGCATCTTTTAGTGGAAAATAAAAATTGTCCATAAGAATTTCAAAATGTAGTTTTATACATAATTTGTCATAATTGTTTTGGCTAATGGTTATTTATAAAATTTAGTATGCTAATAATATTTGTTGAAATTGCAATATTTTAATTTTATATTTTTTTAATATATACATTTTTTGCTGTGATATATAGTATTAAGCATTCTTAAGGTCTGTAGTTAGGGAAGTGAAACAAATAAGGGTTGTAGTATTAGTGTTAGGAACAATTATTTTTCTACTATACTTGTTCTTTTTGAAGTTTACATAAGGTGTTGAACTTCATGAAAAATAATAAAAATTTAATTATCTTTTTTCATGAATATTACTCTGTTAATTCATTATTAATAACAGAAAGGAATTAAAATATTAATTGTATTTGTAAACTACTTTCATATCTATTTAGTAGTCAGCTGTTAATGACCTGAATGAATATAATTCCCATATCTTAGAGCAACACTAATAAAAATATTATGCAGAGATGTATGTGTAATTTTCATTTTTTGTAGCCATATTGAAAAAAATAAAAAGAAATAAACAGTAAATTTTAATAATAACTTTATTTAACCTGGTAAATAAAAAATATTGACATTGTAGCATGTAACCAATATAAGAATATTAATAAGATCTTTTACATTCTGTTGTTGGTACCAAGTCTTTAAATATGCTATGTGTTTTACACTTTTAGCTCATCTTAATTTGTCTAGCTACAATTTAGATCTCTAGATGCACATATAACTTCTATATATTGTGTTAGAGCAGTTCTATAGGAGCTGGTCTCCTTCCTACTCTTCTTCCACTAGACAGTTGGTCTTTTGAGATTGTGTTTGTGTCTTGTCTCTTTTTCTCCCCTCATTTTTTTAAAAATATTTTTTAAAGTTGGACACAATACCTTTATTTTATTCATTTATTTTTATGTGGTGCTGAGGATCAAACCTAGCACATCTCACGTCTGTGCTATGCAAGTGCTCTACTGCTGAGCCACAACAGCCCTTTTCCTCATTTTTTCAACAGCTTTTCTTCCCAGATTCTATTTTGAAGCTCACAGTACTCCTAGTTCTATGAGAAAATTTTTTTCTTTCTACAACTACAGATTATGAACTAACCACCTAATTATCTTTTGGGTTGTTTTGAAACTTGCCAGTAATTTGTTCTGTGATTTATATTCTTTTCTCACACATGTTGGGAAGTATGAGTTTCTTTTATCCATTAGCTAAAAACTGTGCTTATTTTATCTTAATGTTTTAATCTTAACTAGACTATAAACCATTGTGAAAATCAAAGGCTGAAAAATAGAAAGTCTAGTAATATAGATGGTTTTATCAACCTTCCCCTCAATTCTTCTCCATTATTTTCTGATGTGTGGGATAGTGATTATTTCTACTAAGAAATTAATGTAACTTTTATGCTAAGGAAAAGTCTTCTTCAGATTCTCACAGTTTGGCACCCAAACATGTTCTCCTTTACTTTCAATATGTGCATACATTCATAGAATTCCCATATCATTCATTTAGATTTAATTGATCAGTTACTTTCTTTTAAAATCAATGTAGTTGTTTTTATATCAGGTGAAAACAAAGATATTCAAATGAATCAAAACTATTTAACTTTGTTATTGTTTTAATCCAAGATTACCTATAGTTAAATTATTTGCTGTTTAGTATCATTCATGGTGTGTTACTGGTGGGAATTTTAGTGGACAATGAAGCATGGAATATTAGTTGATAATGGTGCATTCATTTTCTTTGTTGTTAATGTTACTCTATTTAGGTTACTTTCCGCACGAGAATCTATCACTGCAACATCAACAGTCAGGGAGTCATCTGTCTGGACATCCTTAAAGACAACTGGAGTCCTGCTTTGACTATTTCAAAGGTTTTGCTGTCTATTTGTTCACTTTTGACAGACTGCAACCCTGGTAAGCAATCTTTATAAGCATAAACAAAAACTAGTGCATTTTCTTGGTTAGCTTAAGTGTTCATAAAGAAATAAATGCTGTGTGTAGAAAAATGAGTATAAAACATTTTGTGAGGAAATTATGAATGCCACTCTACAATTATATTTTTCACTATCATTCATAGAATCTCTTCTTTCTAAAACATGTAGCTATAGAGTGCATTTCTGCCAGGAAGGAAGCAGTGTCTTTGACTCTGGTGCGTTCTTTTCTCTGCTGCCTGCTTCTATGAGTTTTAACTACTCAGTAATGAAGGGCTTCTCTCTCCCTTTTTGGATTAAAGTTAGTTATAGTAAATATAGTAGTAATGGACATTAAAATGATAGCTGATATGAGAGCTGTACTAGATTTTGATTATTTAAACTCTGGCATCATTAGTATGTAATTTGTAACTTTTTCAGAAATATCTAACTGGGTGACTGACTTGTTTACCAAGGTAAACAGATCTGGATTTTCACTTATCTTACTATTTAGTCATTTTTAAAGAAATTGCTAATTCTTTCTAAATATTTTATAATTCACTAACAGCTATTATTGTTACCTTAGGCTCAACAGTTAGATATATATGATGGATAAATAGATGGAAGTTTTTATATCATTATTAAAGCAAAAGACAGAAATAAGCTGAGTGTCCATTAATAAAGAATGCAGCTATTAAAAATAATCAAGCGCCTCTATGTAAACTAACAACAGGGGAAGGTCTTTAAGATGCTTGTTGAATACATATAAAATCTCTGCAAAGAAATATTTTGAATGAGTAACAATTGTTTGCCAGAGAGAGAGAAGTTGGAGTAGTTGGAGTCAGGAAGGCAGTTTTTAAAACTTTCTTTACTATCATTTGGATCACTTCAAATATTATGTATACTTTAAAAAGTAATTCAAACCATCAGTTAAAAGTTTACATCGTAGATATAACTATTTTAAAATTCTATTTAAAATAAAATGGCAAGTATGTTTTTAAATGGAGACATACATAGTGATTAGAGTCATATTGCATAGAATGAAGGAAAATTTCGTTCTGAATAGCATTATATTCTTAGATCAGGGTTCCATGTAAGAGTGATTTTTTAATATCTATAATAAACCAGAAATACACCACCTACTGCATTTTTATTGTTCAATAAAATGCGAAGACTACAAAATAATTTTTGCATACTAAAGGCATGTCTTTTAGAGAAATCCTATCCATTAACTCAACATTCATTTTTTAGTGAATACTTAATTTGAATATTAATATATTCAGATGGACATACTACCTTAAGCATTTTTCTTTCAAAATCAATCTATTATATATAAAGATATGTAAAGATACTGCTGAAATGTTTTACTTTAAAATAATGTTAGACTTGTACCATTAAGACTCCACATAATATCTTAATGTTGTTTCTACTTTTCTAGCGGATCCTCTGGTTGGAAGCATAGCCACTCAGTATTTGACCAACAGAGCAGAACATGACAGGATAGCCAGACAGTGGACCAAGAGATACGCAACATAATTCACATAATTTGTATGCAGTGTGAAGGAGCAGAAGGCATCTTCTCACTGTGCTGCAAATCTTTATAGCCTTTACAATACGGACTTCTGTGTATATGTTATACTGATTCTACTCTCCGCTTTTATCCTTTGGAGACTGGGAGACTCCCCAAAAAGGTAAATGCTATCAAGAGTAGAACTTTGTAGCTGTAGATTAGTTATGTTTAAAACGCCTACTTGCAAGTCTTGCTTCTTTGGGATATCAAAATGTATTTTGTGATGTACTAAGGATACTGGTCCTGAAGTCTACCAAATATTATAGTGCATTTTAGCCTAATTCATTATCTGTATGAAGTTATAAAAGTAGCCGTAGATGACTAGGAATTATGTCATTTGTATTAAACCCAGATCTATTTCTGAGTATGTGGTTCATGCTGTTGTGAAAATGTTTTACCTTTTACCTTTGTCAGTTTGTAATGAGAGGATTTCCTTTTACCCTTTGTAGCTCAGAGAGCACTGATGTATCATCTCAAACACAATAAACATGCTCCTGAAGGCATAGTTTCCTGTCGTAATGTTTGAAGTCAGTCTTGTCAGAAGGTGTGTCTGAGATGATTGTTGATGAAATAAAGATGTGAATATGAAGATGGGCTACTAAGGACTACTGCAAATGAATGAATTATTCAATTGAAAGCATTTAAAATCTTGAAGTATAGGATTTTTCCTTTAAATCTTAATGAGAAAATAAAATGAAATGAAATATACAAAACTGAATTTTAAACCATGAAGTTTTACTTTGATAATATGGTATTTGAGCTAAAGAAAATAAAACCATGACTCACTTAGGTGTCTGGAAATATCTTATTTAGAACATTTTGCTTCTAAATTGGTGATTTCTTTCCAGCATTGGGCAATATTGTCAAATAATAACTTTGATCTGATAGCTATTGTGTGGTGTCTTTTCCTTTTAATCCTGGTCTTGAATTTTTATGATTCATTTACCCTTCTTACTGTGACACTTGGCCAACCAATATAGCCAGAGGCAGAGTTGAACACAAAACCCTTGTCTGCCCTGAAGGTAGAAAAGAACTGTGTTACTGTGCAGACATAGTATTATTTCTCAGTTTTAACTTAATTTCTTTCTAGCCGTAATTATTAATTATAATAATTATCAAGCTTTTCTTATTGGAGTATGTAAACATATTAATGTGCTCCTCCCATTCCCCATGATTATTATTATTATCTTTGGTCATGTAATCAAGATTGTGGTTTATGGAGCAAGTATCTTCTTTAGTCCTTAATATGGTGATAGAGTACCATCTTAAAATTTTAGAGTTGAATCATTAGCTTAAAAAATACATTGCTATAAGATAATAAAGCAAAATATGATTATAGTTGCATTTTCATCACTATGAATAATGGACTCCTACTTGAGTATTTGTCATAGAAGTCTTAGAGTAAAATGAAACTTATGTATCTGTTTTTCAGTTAAGTACCCCCATACCCCAAAATTATCCTATTACAAAGAAACAACAAACAAAATATTTTGAGGCTTATGTTTGAAAACCTCTGAGCTTTGACTATTTTAAGCAAAATCTAATACATCTAATAGAGTCCAAGTCAGTGCAGTGAGAGTGGAGACCTTTTATGTAAACAAAAATAATTTTTATCAGACTGGGGGAGTTTTAAAAAGTAGTTTTTCCGTATTACCAAAATTGTTCATTCTGTGTCCTACAGTAGTAAATATTTTCTTGATGCTAGAAAATCTTTCATTATGCCCAATAATAGGATATTTGAAGATAGACGCTATGATTGGATTTTCTGGTCTTACTATATATCTAATGAATACCACCAACCTATTTTGCTTTGTTGGCCTGGGACAAAGTTGAGGGAATTGGTTACTTAAAATATTTGCATCTCTCCCACAAACTACCTTTGTTGCCTTGAATAGGATACTTCTTTGAGTTTTAATTTATTCATATATGAAATATAAGAGTTGAATTAATTTCCCTGTTTTCTATTATCCCTCAAACTCAGTAATTCTAATCTCATAAATTTTTGTTCTGCTTTCTCTTTTCAGGGAACTGTCAACATTTTTAAATGGGTGCTAATAGTATCTAAGTGTTATAATGAGTCAGCCTACCTATAAAATGAGAGTAAATTCTTCTAAGTTTGAGAGAAGATAATCAAAAGGATATATTTTCAAGAAATAATAAACTTCATTTGGTTTCCTATCATAGGTTACCTCAAAGTTTCGATTTTTTTCTCATTCTCTATTTCTAAAAAAACTGTAGATCTCCTTCGTAATTACATAGGTTATCATAGAAATTATTTTCTTCATGAAATTTGCTCTAGATGTAAATTGTGATATTTCAAACAAAACCCAGACTTTTTCTTACCCATTAAAATCAAAATTTGTATTTTACAAGACCAAATATAATTTTATAAGTGCTTGAGAAAGACAGTGACTCCAGGCATCCTGTTGAACTTGGAGTGTTCACACTATGACCACATGCCCTTGGAGTAGTTTGGTAGTAAGGTACTACTGCATGCAAATTATAGGCTGTAGAGGCTCATGTGCTATATCTTGTTTAATGCTCTTAAAGAGCTTTAGGAGAGTAGACACTGATGGTCCTCATTCAACAGAGTTGGAACTGATATACAGACAGGTTAAATAACTTGCTTAACATTATGTAGCCAATCCAATTAAGAGATGCAGTTCCCATGTTCTACCACTAGGGTAAGAGTCTTTTATAACATTATAGCTTACTGTTGCATACACATACACAAGTTATCACTTTCCTGCAAAAGTGGACATTCATAGATTAATTAATTATAACTTCTGAAGTTTACAAAGTGAAGTACAGTTTACATTTTACTATATCCTTATTTTAATCTCAGATGGAAGCTTAACAAACTTGTTTCCTGTGAACATGAGGTAGGATTGTTAATATTTTCCCTTAGACATTTGTCATAGATATAATATCACTAATTTCTCCTCCTTTTTTATTTGAATTTGAAAACGATGCAAATTAACCACATAGCACGTGTAATCACATCAGGAAACTTATTGGTAAATATATCAAGCATTTTTCAAAGCCACAAGGTGTTTTAGTTATCTAGATATTGGCTTTTTAAGAACAAGGTAATGTTAACTAATAAGGTAAAATTCAGTACATATTACAGTTTCACCTGTCTGTGTGCTTTTCTAACAAGAACTCTGAGGTGTTGTTTTCTGATGCTTATTTAAAGAAATTGGAATCAACCCACTATCTTATAAGAATACTAATAAGTATATTCTTAAAACAGTACAAGAATATGTAGTAAAATTTTAAATCAATTTCAGCCCCATGATTTCAGATCCTAACCTGTTATAGTCTTGTTAGTGCAGTACATTTACAAAGTTTTAGTCACCATTTATATTTTGTTCTTTGGGCAAACTTATAACATGACCTGAGACATCTGTTATTTTTCTCAAACCATTAAACATTTTTTTAAAAGACTTGAGTGATTGTACAGTAACTCCATTATGGGATTATATTTTAGTTAATTTTTCTTATTTTAGGTAAATATACAAATTCCTTTTTTTATACCTAAGCAAGCAAATAAGCTTTTATAATTACATTTTAGTAGATACACATTTTTCGAAATGAAACGTAGATTTTTTTTCCCTAATAACTACTTTATCAGCTTTTTCTTATAAGGTTCTTCGGTGATTTAAATGTGTATCCATCCAGTGTGTAATGGACTGTTTCTACACAGTTGACTGATAGTCATAAAATGAATTGCTGAGAGTGGTTTATATAACTGTATTGTCAACAGTAATGAATCATGTTAAAGCCTTGATCATTGTCAGACAGCATCAACCTTGTTAAAATGAGAATTGAGGGATGATGCTCTAAGGTCTGTCTATTCATATCTAACTAAGGCAAATGGATACCACCCTCACTTTGCTCTTTTCTGTTTCTCTCTTCTGTATTTATTCTGGAATTCTAGCATTCTCTTCTTTGGTTTGCCACCTTTTGTGCTGCCAGCTGTGTGTGTTTCCAGTAGTTCAGGTGACTGGAAGATTTAAAATGATATGTCCAACATATTGGGGAAAGAGGCAGGGTGGGGGCGTTGACAGACACCAAGCTTTGGAGGAGAAAGTTTTGTAGTAGTTGGTGACCCACATTCAGGCCCAAAGACAGTTTAAAGCATTCTTTATTAGTTTTTGTCGCTGATGTAAATACACATAAATAATTATGATTAGGAAGCAGAAACTGGGGACAGCGTGCTAGTTCAGATTTATTCTGAAAGAAACAACTATGACATAATAAAAGGGATTGACAAGTCTAGTTATTCTAGTCAGTAATTTGTATTTAGATAAATTTAATTTCACTTTAGATTTTCTAATTCTATAGGTTTTCTTATTGAATCTGGTATAGCTAAAGCCATTATGCAAATCTACATAACAGGTCTCTAAGAGCTGTGTTTTTGCCACAGATCCCTAAGATTTATCTCAAAGTTGCTTCCAAAATGATACCTTCCTTCCTCTTGTTCTGCTTTCATTTACGTTTTAGTTTGTCAGTCTTTTCTAAGATGCCACCTACATAAACATCAGAAATAATAAAAAGAAATCAAGCAAGTATGTGCATATTTCCCAGTACCAGCAACAAGCCAGTTGCCCTCCTTGATAATGTTTGCTCTAAAGCCAAGAATCAATCCATCTTCCTTCCTTCCCTCCCTCTCCCTCCTTCCTTCCATCTCTTTCCCTCCCTCCCTCTTTTTCAGGGAAGTAGTAGGAGAATAGAAGGGGGTTCTACTGCATTTATTCTGCATAATCCCTTAACTGATCTTTATTGTGAGTTTATTCTACAAATTTTAAGTGCTAATTGAAAGATTTTTTTCAAGCAGTATGGTTTGTACAAATATGAGTACATTTTCACATTCTTTTAGTTCATCATTTTTCTGTCCTGATAGATTTTTTCCTCTTCCTAGCAGAAGAGAATACATCTTTGCTATTGTGTATCCATTACAAATGGATGTTGAATAATAAATTGAACATATGCCCTTGCTGATTTAGCAATGAAAATATTAGTATAATGTTTGGTAAGTTTACCCAATCATTATAATACTAAACATGCTTAACACTAGTTGACGCTTTTGAAATAATTACTCTGTCTTTCAAATTACTTTTAGTACCCAATGTCTCTAGCTTGCATTTTAACACTATTATATTCATTTAGCACCTTTTCACTATTTCTGGATAATGAGCTTTGTTAAGGTAATACCTATACTTTTCATTTCTGTATTTCAGTACCTACCCCAGTGTCTAATATGTTGTGTATTTGCTAAATGTTTATTAAGTCATGGGAATAAGCCTTTTTAAGGCTATCCAGACACTATGTGAAGCTTATCAGACATGCCTTTGTAATTCCCCATCATCCTGATTGAGTGCTCTGTATGTGGTCAGTGTTGCTTATATTCCTGCTAAACTGAAATATGGAAAACTAGCAATAGTTTATTCATATAACCTACTTAATGTCTGCTTATTTAAAATGGAAAATGAATCTTATAAT